GTTCCTTAAAAATAAGACATTTGTACTAAATGATAGCATCCATGACCTTTCAGAAGGAGCTTATTGTACCTTCTTCATGACAAGAAACTGAAGCACTACAAAGAGGTCTTGAAAGTTGGTGTATTTAAGTAATGCTTTAACTATGCAAGGGTAAACAATCAAATCTCTTCCTAACGTAAGATTTATTTATATAAAGTAATAAAAAAATGTGGAAATGGACAAAGAAGTAATAGAATAATTTTTCTTTTGCCTCTGCATTTCTAACCTTACAATGGCCATAAAAATTTCAACAAGCATGCTTCTAGGAAAGTATTAATTCAAAATATAATGCAAAGCCAATCGTGGTTATTCTTTCACTCTCTTCAGAGTTTGAATTTTACGTACATGTTATGAAATGCTCATTTACATAGAACTGACTTGAGAAATGTAGTTTTGAACAACATGCTGAGTGTAGCTGGATAATTGGGGATACTTTTAACAGTTGGATTTTTATGAATTTATAATTCCCCCCCATATGTCCCTGTGTGTCCATTATTTAGCTCCCAATTATAAGTATGAATATGTGGTATTTGATTTTGTGTTTCTGAGCTACTTCACTTAGGATAATGACCTCCAGCTCCATCCATGTTGCTGAAAGAACATGATTTCACTCTTTTTTATATGTACCACATATTTTTAATCCAACCATCTGTGATGGGCAATTAGGTTGATTCCATGACTTGGCTGTTGTGAACAGTCACACTCAAAGCTTTGAACCCAGCATTCTATTCTTATGATTAAAGATTTGAAAATTGTACACTCTTTTTGGATTACATAGATTATTCTATTTTCTAGCAAGTTTATCCTTTCCACAGTATTCTGAGTTACATATCAAACTAAACTCAGAAGTGAAGTAGAATCCCCACCCTTGTTTCCTGAATTAAGATGAATTTTAGGTATTGCAACAAGTAGATGGAAAGCTCTGCTCCTCTTCTGCTGTAATGTGCAATGTAGCTTTCTTTCTTTTAAAAGATTTAGGTACTTTCTCCCTATAAATTCCTCTGCTGAAAAAATGTATACTTCATTTTTAGTAGGAGTTTCTAATTCTTATTTCTCCTTATGAAATGTCTAAAAACGAACAAATACTTGAGAATATTTAATAACAAATTGTCGAAATTAAAATATTTATCATTAGAATATAACTAAAAGTTGGTTAGAAATACAAATATCCCAATCATAAAATGTTTCCTACCTTCTAAAATGATGTAGTTACATATTACATATTCTCTTATGTACGGTCTTACATATTCTGAGATGACTATTCCAGTTATTCTTAGCAACACATTTACTGGGTTCTGAATTAGATGACTCTATGAATCCTATATTTCAAAGACTCAATGATTTAAGAATTTATGTGTGAAGGCTGAAAATTCAAAGAGAAGATTTACTTAAAGAAGTAATGTTGTCCTAAATTAAAAGGAAATATTAGTTGCCCAAAGACAATGTCTCAACTTTTTTTTTTTTTTTTTTAGAAGTTTTACTCTTGTTGCCCAGACACCCAGACTGGAGTGCAGTGGCGCAGTCGCAGTTCACTAAAGCCTCTGCCTCCCAGGTCCAAGCCATTCTCCTGCCTCAGCCTCCCAAGTAGCTGGAATTACAGGTGCCTGCCACCATGTGTAGCTAATGTTTTGTATTTTTAGTAGAGATGGGGTTTCACCATGTTGGTCAGGCTGGTCTCGAACTCCTGACCTCAAGTGATCCCCCCACTTTGACCTCCCAAAGGGCTGGGATTACAGGTGTGAGTCACCGCACCCAGCCCTATCTACTATGTTTTTTATGATGGGAAATCCAGAATACACAAAACTAATATCTTACAGGGCTTCAGTAACTCCATTTATAAAAAGCTGGTGTGGCTATTTGACAAATACATTTGTTGTAAAAAAATTACAAAATTTAGATGTTCTTGCCTCCCTATTATGTTTTAGGCATTGCATTATGAGGTAAAGTATCTCCCATATTAAAAAGAAACACACCAACTAAGGTTAAGAAGGTTTATTTATTTATTATTTCTTTTAGAGACAGAGTCTTGCTTTGTTACTCAGGCTGGAGTAAGGCAGTGGCACAGTCACAGTTCTCTGCAGCCTCAAACTCCTGGGCTGAAGTGGTCCTTCTGCCTCAGCGTTGTGAGCATCTGGGACTACAGGTGCAAGCCACAGTGCCCAGGGTTTAAGAAAATTGGGGGAAAGAAAAAAGAATTTGCCTAAGGCCTGGATTCCTAACCACTGAGTTATACTGCCTCTCAATAGCACAGCCAGAACAAATAACAAAATAAAATTAAATAAGTAAAAAATTGTTTAAAATAAAAGATAAAGATGCATACATATTTTAGCATTTCAATGTTTATGAATTAAATATAATATAGAATTCTGACTTTTAAAATTAATGGTGATAATAATATTATTACCTGTATTGAACATTCATTATTTTGACACCTCATCTATCTCTGCCTTCTTTTATCAATATCACCAATATTTCAATTGTGGAATCACCTTTCCCCTCTCAATTTCATTCTCATGTAACAGCAACTAATTACTCAATCTCCATTAAATAGTTTTGGATATAGCAATTGTTTCAGAATTGCTGTGTCAAACAAGCTAAGCTAGTCAAAGCCAATCCAATGACACTCAAATCTGGTTTGTTTTTTTTTGTTGTTTGTTTTGTTTTGATTAAAGGGAATGAGAAATTATCTGCTTCCACTGGATTTGTAGAGAAAATGAAAATCAATCCCAGTTGCTGCTGAAGGCAGCAATATCACCACTAGAGGAACTTTCCAGAAAATGCAAACCCCAGATAAAAGAGAAATGATCCCTGATGATATCATTTGAGAACCAAAACTGTACTTGAAGAAACTGCTATGTTTGTACTTTTTAAATTGCATGAGCCAATAACCACCACCACTCTTGAGTCTTTTTGCTGAAACTAGTTAGCATTTGGCTTCTCTCACTGGCAAACAATAATTTTGAGTTAATCACTGTCTTTGCATTTGTATTGTGTTCTTGTCATATATTCACACCTATTTTTTAATTCTCAAAATAATAGTGCAAGGTATATAGGACATAAACAATTTCTATTTGATAGATGGCATCATTAAGATCACAAATGAAAATATATTTTAGGAAAAATTAAAATGTGGGATATATATACCTTCCAAGTCAGCTGAAATAATAAAATATAATGAAGACATTAATCAAGTAATTGATAACTGATTGAATATGAGATGTGAGGAAGAAAATGTACCAAGATTTTAAGAAAAGTAAAATGATGCTATTTTTATTTAAATATGGAACAACTTGAAAAGTTCAGGAGAATTTAGAGGAGATTATTAATCTGGCTTCAGACATATATTTATTACAGGTTAAATATCCCAAACCCTAAAATCCACAATCCAAATGTTCCAAAATCTGAAACTTTTTGTGTGTTAACTTGACGATCAAAGGAAATGCTTGTTGTTCCATTTCAAATTTCAGATTTTGGGATTTGGGATGCTCAAAATCTGAAATCTGAAACACTTCTGGTCCCAAGCATTTTGGATAAGGGATATTCATCCTGCATGACAACTGAGTAGGATGCCTAATTAGACAAGTCTGATCAACAACTTTATTAGATTTGTATTCAGAAGAGCCTTTATGAAAAGAATAGATAACCATATGTCACCCATAATGTTGATAGCTGAAGCTATGGTAGGGGCAACATAACTAGAACTGCATGGATTATTAGATTTCAGGTCCCTTCTCAATATCATTTCACATGACACTAACAATGAGGGTGGTGATACCACCCTAATTAACAAATAAAGAAAGGTAGGGGTGGGTGTGTGTGTGTGTGTGTGTGTGTTGCAGGAAAACACATTTGAGCTTTCTAATATAATTAAATTGGCAAACATGTAATGCAATTTTCTATTAGACAAAAATGGCTTTTGGAATTTAAAAACTAAGACCATATCAAGAGCAGTTAAATTATTTCACTTTTGGATTGTATTAAAACTGAATTACAATCATTATTTTCTAAATTGGTCAGTGTTTCTTCCCTCCATAATGAGAATATTAATAGTGAATATCTTCATGCAATCAAATATATATATTGCTCTATTCACAAACAGTATCAAACACAATTATGCTTTAAGAGCTTATTACTCAGTAGAAAGGCATACAAGAAGCAAGTAAGTATAATATAGTGTAATCCAATGGAGAAAAATAGTAGGTACATCAAGATATATTCTGCCTCACTCCTATGACGGTCAGCCTAAAATCCTTGGCAGCACCTTATATCACTGAATCGTTAAGCTGAAACCTTAAAAGAGGCATGTTTTTCCTTGTCATGTATTTAACGTATAAGTATAAATAATCCCCATTTAGTTAATATTTGACGTCCACATAAGCTTACATTTATCATCATAAACTTAAAAGTCTCTTTGGTCATTATAAGAGTACAAATTTATCATTTATGTAATAGAAGATCAAATTTAAATTTAAACGAAAGCTTGAACTGTTTAAATGGAAAAATATGAAAACACTAAACAGTATAAATTTGTTCTAATTTAACAAAAAATATTTTAAAATAACTTACATTCCTTATAAAAATGCAAACCAACTTTAAACTAAAAACTTTATATTAAAAATTGATTTCATTGTATATCATCAAAGCCTACAGCTGTATAGTAAGCAATCCAAAAAAGGGTATCCACAATCCCAGAGTAGGGAAATAAAGTACATCAGCCTACTTGCCCATGTCCTTAAGATAAAGTAACAAAATGAAACTTGAATGGCACATGGTTCAAACACATGATGTTAGAAGACATAGAAGTTATTCATTGAGACAATATGGAATAGATTATTTTTAATGTACAAAATTTATCTGTTCTTTCTTTATATTAATATTAACACATTTATTATTAATCACATTTTCTGATCAGTTATCTAATTGATTTTACAAGACTTTGAAAAACTAAATGAACAACTCACTGTTTGGAAGGCTCAGGAAATTTTGGTTCTTCTCTTTTCTTCATTTCTATTGTTGGTTCCATAGGAGCAAGAACTACAGCAGCACATGAGACGACAGAGTGATATGAATCCTCCCGGCAAACTATTCAAAAAAACCAAAGACTTGTAAATGTCAAAATTATTTATGAATTATTCTCACTTCTTTTTCTCCTTTCTATATTTACTCTAATAAAAGGTCTAATTCTACTAAAATGTTAATTATTAAATTATCCTTAAATATTTTTTACTCTATGTCTTTTCACTCACTAGTTATATAACCTTGGGTAATTTTTCTTTTTTAAAGCCCGGAGTGGAAAAGATATTGCCAACAGTTTATAGTCCTTTTCTAAAAAAGCTTTTCATCAAAGAATGAAAAGTACAAAAATTATATATATACAGTTCAATGAATTCTTGCAACATGACCACACCTGCTAAGTCCGCATCAAGATCAATAAACAGTGCATCACAAGCTCCCCAAATCCTCCTATGGTTCCCCTTCCCAAACACTACTGTAGCCTCTGAACTTAACCATTATCATCACGTATATAACCATAAATAAATTTTGCCTATTTCTGACATTTATACAAATGGGATCATATTCTTTTGTGAACATATTATTTTACATGTGATTTATTTCATTCAATGTGTGCTTATAAGATTCATCTATGTCTGGCAGTAGCTGGTTCATTCTCATAGCTGTGTGGCGTTCCACTGGATGAACATACTACAATTTATTTATATATTTAATTAACAATGAACACAGTTTACTTTCAATTTGGGGCTATTTCAATTGTCCATGAACATTCTTGTACTTTTTTAAACACTGCACAAATATATTTATATTGGGAAAATATCAAGAAGCTGTAATCCTTTCTAGGATATAGTCATGCTTTATGTTCTGCTTTAGTAGCTACTGCCAAATATGATTCAGAGTTGTCTGTAGTAATTTGCATTACCAACAATAGAGAGTTTCAGCTGTTCCACATCCACACCAACCCTTGGTTTTATCAGATTTTTCTTATTAAAATTTTAATATTGTATTAAGTTTCTATTGCAGCATAACAAATTAACACAAACTTAGCAGCTTAAAACAACATCCATTTATCATTTCACAGTTCTAGAAATCCGAAGTCCAGATGGGCTCAACTGGGTTCTCTGATTGGGGTCTTACAAAGCAAAAATCAAGGTGTCAGCCAGGCTGGGCTCTTATCTAATGTCTCTGTGTGAGGAATCCACTTCCAGGCTTACTCAGATTAACAAAATTTACTTCCTTCCAGTAGCAGGATTCAAGTCTCCTTTTACCTTGCTAGCTGCTGTGTCTAGGGACCACTCTTTGCTTCCACGGCTACTCACAGGTTCATGGTCTATGGCCCATCTATCTCAGCAATGCGGAACACCCTTCACATTGAAGCCCTCTCATGCTTTAAATATCTCTGATTTCTTCTTCTGCTACCATCTAGGGGCAAAAAAATTCTCTCTGCTTTTAAAGGACTCATGTCATTAGGTTAGGCATACCCAGACTATCTCTTTTTTTTTTTTTAAATGGAGTCTCACACTGTCACCATGCTGGAGTGCAGTGGCGAAATCAGCTCACTGCAACCTCTGCCTCCCAGGTCCAAGCTATGTTCCTGCCTCAGCCTCCCGAGTAACTGGGAATACAGGAATGTGCCATGCCCAGCTAATTTTTGTATTTTTAGTAGAGATGCGGTTTCACCATGTTGGCCAGGATGGTCTTGATCTTTTGACCTTGTGATCCACCCATCTCGGCCTCCCAAAGGGCTGGGATTACAGGCATGAGGAACCGTGCCTGGCCAATTATCACCTTTTTTATTAACTCAAAGTCAACTTATTAGTAGCCTTAATTACACCTGCAAAATCCCTTTTGCCAACTAATAATCACAGTAGCGATGCCCTATCATCTTCCCAATAAAGAGTATTAAGGACTGGAGTCATGTGACATCTTAGAATTCTGCCTACCAAAGCCATTCCTTTAAGTGCATAGCGGTATGGAATTGCAGCTTCAATTTATATATTACTGATAATGAATGAAATTGGATATATATAGTATATATTCAGTCCTCATTTTACGTGGGTCTAATATGTAAAAATTTCAGTTACATGGTTTAGTTAAATAACATCAGTCACCCCCAAAAATAGGGTTCAAATTGCAGTTCACATGGTTTATCAACTGTGAGTAATCGTGTAAAGTACAAACTTCTTTACTAACACTTCAGTACACAAATCACTATGTAAATAAAAGAGGTACATCATGATCAGTGACATACACACATCACTTCTTTCAAATTCTGTCAATTATTGATAACTAGGCTTTAGTTATTCAGTTCAAGCACATAAATCACAGTGTGTAGCTGCATTACTTCCTTGTCTCCCCATGATAAATTTATGTGACATTTTATAAAAACAGGCAATGTGAAAAAAAATTTGCCTATGAAAAGAAAGTTGAGAAAAGAAATAAAAACGGATAGTGCTGGAAGTGATACTTGAATCAGATATAAATATAGATGAAGGCTGATAATCACTGATGTAAATACCCCTAAGAACTAAGAAGCAGAGGCAACAAATTAACTCCTTCTTTACTGGAGAAACAGGCAAATAATAAAGATGAGAATGCACATTAATGAAAGAGAAGACAAAGATAAACTAGGAAGTGCAAATCAACCAAAAAGTGATCTCAAATAGAAAGAGGTACACATAAAAAAAATCAATAATGCTTTCGAGTTTTCCCCTTAAAATATTCACTGAAGTATTAATTTGCTCAGGGCTAGTCCCTAAGATATAAAATAGATGGTCACTGAAAGTAGAACTCAATTTAAACAATATTCTGGCATCAAGAGACAAAAACTAGTGTTAAATATGTGTCAAGGAGGAGGGATTGTGGCTTCCTCACTGTCTCTCCAGTGCCATCAAATGGATATTTGTTTTGTCTGGATTTTTAATTTAATTTTCAATACCAAGCAGTTCCATTAGAGTTGGAAACAGAAAACTCTATTATCTCTTAAAACTTATATTATTGCCTTAAATGCTACTAGTGAAGAAATACGCTAAGAGGAACATTATTAATTCATTCTTCTAGGATAACATTCATTTATTCATTAAATATTTACTGAACTACTGATATGTTCCAAGACATATTCTTCATAATGGGATTCTACTGTGGGCAAGAAAAAAAATCCCTCCTACCTCAAGTTTCCAATGAGAATTTGATTTCTTCAAGAGAGATTCTTTTCAAGTACTAGGGCAACAAGTCCCTGACCAGATTAGGTGAAATCATTTATCTAGAACCCTATGAGAAAAACTGTAGCTAAGTTATTTCAAAAAAGGAAAAGTGAGCAGGAAAAAAAATGCTAAGAAAAAATTTGAAAAATAGGGAATATTTGTTTACACAAGGTACCTTTAATTATTACAACTTAATATTTGTTACCTAGAAACAGAACAACTGAAATTGCATAACTGAGCAATTTAAAGGCAGAAAGAAAAATAAACCTTATCAATATGTACTAAGAAGGAACAGAATTTCTGGGGGTTATAGAGTAGTGGATATTTATGTGATCACTATGTTTTGACAAAAGATATTCTTCAAAACCAACACCCACACTTAAAAAGTAAATCAGATCTTATATCACAATTGCCATAGTATACACTACTTTGTAGAGCAATCTGGTTAACATGTGAGTTTAGAGAATAATATGAACATTACTAACTGAGGAAAAACATTGTATTTGCCATTACAATAGACCTTGGATGATGCAGATTAAAAGATAAGTTCATTTTATAAAGACTTCCAAAGTTGTGTGGCTTAACCATTTGCTTTTTGAGAAAAGATCATAAACTTATATTGGCCTAGAGCATTGTACAAAAGAATATGGACATCAGTAGGAACCAGGGAAACCTATGTTTTAAAATCAGGTTTATTTAACATCTCTGATGTAACATCTTACTTATTCCTATTTAAGACATAGAAAAATTCAACTATTCCTGACACAAATAGTTAAATTATTGCTAGACTCTGAAAGGAAATTACCATACAAAAATCAATGGAAATAAAGTGAGAATCAAAATTGTTAGCCAATAAAAGTCTCTCTCTACCTTATACTTCATTAATAAGGCAACGAATACATTTTTTAAATGTCAGAGATATAAAAAAATCAATATACAATTTTTATGGAATACTATAATCCACATTTTTTCACATTTGTCAAATTAAGTATAAATTTCTTAAAGAGAAGTAAAGTAAGATCATTTAATATGGTTTGCTAAACACATCGAATTATGTAAAATACGGGAATGCATATTTTTCTCAAGATCTAAAAAGATTGTTTACACACCATAAAAAGTATTTGTGATGAATTCCAAAACTGGCCTTTAAGCAAAATATAACAAACACTTAAATTACTAGAAAAACAAAGGCAGAATGTTTTTAAAGCCAAAAGGGTAGGAAAAAGTTACTAAATTATTCATCTAGGCTGTTAGAAAAACAAAATTGACAAAACCAAATCAAGAGAAGAACGTCAGACAAATTTAATAAACAAAAATATATAATCAATAAATAATAAAAGTACTAGTTTCAAAGGCCAAATTAATTTGAAAAATTAATTCATACAACAATTAAAATAATCAAAGTTAGAGACAAAAATAGGATATAACTATACAATCTGTATTTAAGCTCTAATTTAAATCTCAAATTTAAGGAGGAATACTACGTTCAGTTACATTACACTAAATATTCAATAACATAGAATATTTTTGAAACAAATAATGTACTAAAATAATTTGAAAATTAATGGCCTAATTACTATATAAAATATTGAAATAATGACATATTTTCAATTAAAACTCAAAAATCAGTAAGTTATTTGGATACTAAATGTTAATGTATCAAAACTAATACAGGAGTTAAAGCCTAGGTTATTTGACAACAGGAGACTTAATTTTTTTAATGGTTCCAAATTTCCTATAGTAATCTTCTCTGACTTTTATAAACAACAAAAACAAAATGTTAAAATATAATCATAAAACCGAGAAGAATACTGCCAATGGCCTCAAAACAGTGGAACTTATTGAAATCCCTTCAGGAAAACTATT